TTTTTGAATCTCAAAGGGCTGTGGACTTCTTAAAAAAATAGAATTAAAAGAGTTACTGTATACCTGATCCCCTCCTTCTCTAGAGTAAGGTTGACCCAAATCCAGATATTGCCAATGCTCTGTTACCGTGGAGAGGATGTACAGATCTGCGCTTAACGTCACTGTTTACCTGTCAGAACACGGCCCCTCAGCAAACACATTAATCCATCCTAGTGTCAGTGTGCGATTTACTTAGCTAGATGCGTTCTATTTGCACACTTGAAATTTATGAGCTAAGAGCTCGAGCTGAACGTAATGCTCTTTCATGACTCAAACATTGTAAACTGCTTAAAAACGGTGCTAAAATATAATGCGAATGCCAGATTAAAGTTGCCAGGCGTTTATGATTCACATTCATTATTTTTGTGTGCCAGTGCGGTTGGCATTATGCCCTGAGTAGATTCATCTGTCCATAATGGGACTTTAAATTGTTTAGCAGCATTTGTGAAACCAGAAAACAGCCATGAAACATTCTATAAAACCTCTTAAATCTACCCTTACGTCTACAAGCTGAAAACAAATGGGGATTTATTTACTAAATATAGGACAAATAATATAAAACAATTCTCAAAATTAGGCCTTGATTTTTTAAAATATCAAATAATATATCGTATTAAAAAAAATCTATCAAAAAATCTATCAACGAAAAAAATACGTCAATGTATCAAAAGAATATCAGAATATTACAAAATGAACATGAAATCAAGTTTTGTTTTCCTCATTTTTCTTCTCTGTTTATTTTTTATTTTTATTTTACCTTTCAAATTGTCTCTTCTCATTTCTATATCACTTTATTTTATTGAATGTGCTTCCTCTGTCCACTTCATGTACCCTTTAATTTATCTGACGGTTTGTACTGTCGCTATACCTTTAAATGTACAGGATTAAGTGAAAAACAAAGTGTGATTTAAAGGGCCGTGAATGCAATTAATCTGCCATTTAGCAGTTATGCCTAATAAACGCTATTTGCTAATAAAAGGGAACAATGACAAACATTAGCATTGTCAGGATAGATGGATTAGATATTAATTTAGCCTCCACTTAAGAGACACCCCGTGCGATACAATCTTACACCTCACACAGGAAGTGCATGTCATTCCCTGTAGACCTGATTGAGCACGCAATTAGAAGAGGGTGTTCAGAGCACTTTACGTCTGTCAGTGATAATGCACAGAATAGATCAATCTGCAGATCTGACAGAGTATTCAATTTTTAATTCTGATGACATTTCCTGTACATGTAACTGGGGCACTTGGACAGGACGAGTGGGTTTTGCAAACGTTGTAAACTGAGACACGCAAGAAATAAAGAATACATTAAACAGGCAATATAGCAATGTCCTTTGCATAGTTTATGGTGCAGGGTGGTCCCACATCCCTGACTCCCCGGAGTATAATAACTGCTGATATAACAGGTCTTCCAACTGTCTCAATTTTCTAGATGACTGAGTTGGGAGATATGCTATAAGGTTATGGTGTAAGGAGGTCCCCTGTCTCCCCGCACACAGTGTATTATAACTGCAGCTATAAGGTTATGGTGTAAGGAGGTCCCCTGTCTCCCTGCACACAGTGTATTATAACTGCAGCTATATGGTTATGGTGTAAGGAGGTCCCCTGTCTCCCCGCACACAGTGTATTATAACTGCAGCTATATGGTTATGGTGTAAGGAGGTCCCCTGTCTCCCTGCACACAGTGTATTATAACTGCAGCTATAAGGTTATGGTGTAAGGAGGTCCCCTGTCTCCCCGCACACAGTGTATTATAACTGCAGCTATAAGGTTATGGTGTAAGGAGGTCCCCTGTCTCCCCGCACACAGTGTATTATAACTGCAGCTATAAGGTTATGGTGTAAGGAGGTCCCCTGTCTCCCTGCACACAGTGTATTATAACTGAGGCTATAAGGTTATGGTGTAAGGAGGTCCCCTGTCTCCCCGCACACTGTGTATTATAACTGCAGCTATAAGGTTATGGTGTAAGGTGGTCCCTTGTCTCCCCGCACAGTGTATTATAACTGCAGCTATAAGGTTATGGTGTAAGGAGGTCCCCTGTCTCCATGCACACAGTGTATTATAACTGCAGCTATAAGGTTATGGTATAAGGAGGTCCCCTGTCTCCGTGCACACAGTGTATTATAACTGCAGCTATAAGGTTATGGTGTAAGGTGGTCCCTTGTCTCCCCGCACAGTGTATTATAACTACAGCTATAAGGTTATGGTGTAAGGAGGTCCCCGGTCTCCCTGCACACTGTGTATTATATCTGTAGCTATAAGGTTATGGTGTAAGGAGGTCCCCTGTCTCCCCGCACAGTGTATTATAACTGCAGCTATAAGGTTATGGTGTAAGGAGGTCGCCTGTCTCCCTGCACACAGTGTATTATAACGGCAGCTATAAGGTTATGTTGTAAGGTGGTCCCTTGTCTCCTAGTTTTGTGATTTGGTCGACAAAGGGGTAATAGAAAACAAACCATCAAGTAAAAAAACAAAATAACAGTGCAGGATAAATCAGGTTTAAAACCAAAAATTATTATGCAAAATATATTACTCTATATTACTTTAAAAACAGTTTTTAGTTTTTATAAATTGTATGTTCTTGATTCCAAATTGCTTGTTAAAAAATATTTAAATCTGTGAAAATGTGTCTGACTACTCAAATCTCATTTGAATTATAGAATTACTGAAAAAACTAAATAATAATTGAATTTAAAAAAATTATACCAAAATATTATCTGCCATAAAATGAACTAAACTGTGTCTTTCAAACACACAGACAGCAGATACGGTTTGTAGGAATAAAAAAAAAAATGCAGGTTACAAAAGTGTAATCTAAACAATATACCGTAATATTAAACAAATAAAATCTATGATATTCTGTGTCACAAAAACACAAGCAAACAAGGTTTGTTTTCATATTTATTTAATAAAAGTGGCCTTTCATTATTTTTTTAACTTGATCTAATATTTACATCAACATTTCACATTCTATATTTTGATATTAATTAAAGAATTAAGAATCCAGTACCCAGAGGACTGTCTTTTCAACCAAAAAGCACTTTAACATATTGTTTTGGTACGAAAATAGCAACATTTATTTTGTGAATTGGGAGTTCCAGGAACTGAAAAAGGGCACAGAGAGACCTGACTATAATATGCAAGCAGTGGCGGATCCAGGGGGGGGGCAACGGGGCAGTTGCCCCCCCCGAGAAATCCGCCGGTCTCCCTCTCCCTCCCCTGTCAGCCCTGCAATGTGCCTGCGGACCGGGGGAGAGATCAGAGATCTCCCTCCCCGGTCCGCAGGCTCTGTGCTGACAGCCGGTAGGGGAGGAAGAGGGAGGAGAGAGGACCCGGAGCTCAGTCTGCAGCTCCTCCGGGTCCTCCTCTCGCGAGATTTGGAGCGTTGCCGCGGTTACCACGGCAACGCTCCAAATCTCGCGAGAGTGAACTCTAGCCCGGGAGCGTGGGCTAGAGTTCACTGTAACCACTGGGACCACCAGCGATTCACCACTGGGACCACCAGGGATGAAAATATGTCCCCCCTCCTTCTCAATAAAGGTAAGAAGGGAGGGGGGACATAGAATATTTATTTTAATTAAATTTAAAAAAAATATATTATAAAAAAAAAGCCACACACACATACATTGCCCCCAATACTGCCCCCCCATTCACACAAACTGCCCCCCCATTCACACAATCTGCCCCCCCATTCACACAAACTGCCCCCATACACACACATACTACACACACTGCCCCCCATACACACACTACATACACACACACTGCCCCCATACACACACACTTATACACATACTGCCCCACATACACACACTGCCCCCATACACACACACTGCCCCCATACACACACACTGCCCACCCACACACACACACACACACACACACACTGCCCCATACACACAAACTGCCCCAATACACACACACTGCCCCATACACACACACACACTGCCCCCCACACACACAAACTGCCCCCCATACACACACTGCCCATCCTACACATGCCCCACATACACACACTGCCCCCATACACATACATACATACTGCCCCACATACACACACCAACTGCCCGCCATACACATGCACTGCTCCCCCATACACACGCACTGCTCCCCCATACACACATACTGCCCCCCCTTACACACATACTGCCCCCCATACACACACACTGCAACTGTTACACACACATACTGTCCCACACATACACTGCATCCCTGACATACATTGCCGCCCTCACTCACACACTACAACCTTCACACACACACTGCACCCCTTACACATTGCACCACTCACACACACCACTGCTCCTATGCCCTACTACAGCCCCATTTCCCAGCAGATCTCAGGTAAGTTGTCAAACTGTTCTTAAACGGTTTGACTACTTACTGTGGGAGGGGGTCCCGGCACTATTGACACCATAACCACTACACTGAGCTGTAGTGGTTATTGTGTCTGGATTATTTCTTTAAATAATCTACAAGTGCCCCTCCCGAGATCAGGCTCTGGATCCGCCACTGTATGCAAGACAGATTAAAATGGCCTCAGAAAGGCTGCACGTGGTACCTACCCACACTATTTTGATGGGTAAAGGGCTAAAATCCTTTGACCAAGGAAATACAAGGTAGCAGCAGATGACATGGGTGAAGACCCTCTTGGTATAAAAAAAAAAAAAAAAAGTAGAGTGGAGTAGAGAACCTAGCTACTCAACAAAACATATTTGACTGGTTTTCTCCCAAATCCCTGCGTATCTGTAAAAGCAAATAGAGAACTATTAACCCCTTAAGGACCAAACTTCTGTAATAAAATGGAATCATGACATGTCACACATGTCATGTGTCCTTAAGGGGTTGAGGGGTTAAGGGGTTAAAGCACTGGGTTGTTGTTGGGTTTTTATGCGGGAGGGTGCAGGGGATTTGGAGGTGGGGTGGGTTTAGCTTTTAGGCTACAGAACAGCTGATGAAGTAAAGACAAATAAATAGAAGATTGGCTAGATGCTATGACATCACAATAAGTCCAGTGACATAAAATATGATATCAGGGAAACACCCGCAAAAATGAACTGTTTTTTTTTTTCTTCTCTTTTCACTACCATACCAGAATGTAGTAGACTCCATGCTCCTGTCTCTTTCTGAACTGATGTGTCTCAGTTTTCATCGTAAAAGGAGAGCACTCTATAAAATATTCTGTTACAATCAAAATAAAAAGACATTGTAGACTGTAATCATTAAGAGTTCACGGGACCGACTGGCTTTAAGTTACAGCATTCCAAGAGGTCAATTAACACCTATCAGAGTTTTTCATGTCTTGAATCATTTGTACACATGGGTTTCATTACTCAGTATTTAAGGCATTCTAAAAGTGCTATAAAGGACATTATTTTTTTGCAGTCAAACCATCCTCTAGTGTCTCCTCTTTGCTGGTCATATCATGGAGACTGGGTGGTATCTTCTGACATGGACAACAGGAGTGGCAGCACTTTTTGAAAAGGTTTCTCCATAGTTCAGTGTACTGTTGGTGGCTGAGACCCAATATAATAGGAATGACTGCTGCACTGCCACTTCCCACGGTGGTCACAGTTAGGATTATCCACCAGCTGATCTCATATTTCTCCATGGCCAACACTGAGACCTGGAGAAACGCAATGTAAGGAACCCAACATATCAGAAATGTCAATGAGACAATAGCAATGCACTTGGCATAACGTATGTCCATCTGGTGCTCCAGGTCCGCCCCTGCTCCCCTCTGGACCGATCGATGGAGCTTCTTAATGTCTTTCAACTGCCTCCTGGCTACAGAAAGCACTTTGATTGTGATAAAGCTGATTGCCAAGATGGCTGGGATGACAACACCATAGGTTTCCAAATAAATGTATTCTTTTGTGAAGACATGTCTATAGGAACAGGTGCCGTTGTCCCCCCAGTTGTTCCATCCCATCATGGGCAAGCAAGAAAAAGCAAAAGGCAACGTCCAGACCAAGATCAAGGAGAATGGAACACAGCGATGGAGCCAAATACTCCGATAGTGCAATGGGTATATGATACACAGGTACTTCTCATAGTGGACCATCAACAGGTTGGTCAGGAAGGAAAGGAAAAAGAAGTTGGGTGAAACAAAGAAGGCCATGCATGGAAAGTAATACAACTCCTTGTTGAACCTCATTTTTGGAATAAAGGGCAGTGCTACTCCAGTGAAGAAATCCGCAAACAGCAGACTTAGAAAGAAGTAGTGCGTTGTGTTGTGTAGTTTACGGTTGAAGACAATCCCAACAATGATGAAGAGATTGGAGATGATGATGAAGGCAGACAGAGGGCTGGAGAGAAGCATGATAAGATCCCGCTGGTATTCATAGTCCTGGGCGGAGATATTCAAGGCCATAGCTCAGTTGGTTAATGACAGGATGGTGTCCATACTGAGGGCACTGGACACATCCTTCTTTTGAGAAGGGAAGGAAGACACAGCTCTCATCAATGGAGGTCAATGAAGTCAAAGATGCTATAACAAAAATAAATAGAAAGACACATGAGACTTTTAAATTATGCTGATGATCATAGTGCCATCATTTCAGATTTTATGTAAAAGGAACTATTGCAGCAAATATATTATATTTAATTTTTTTCTGTCTGACATATGGCACAATGGTTAATTTAACAAAAAAAAAAATTATTATGGATCTTACTTGCAGCCTTACATTTTTATGTTAATGTTTATGTTTGTCCGTTATCAAAAGCCACTAACCTGTGCCAAACAGCAAAACGTTAAACTGAAAGACGTGGAAGAAGGTTTTGGGTGAATTACTAGGATATTGAGCATTAAGGGTAAGGAAATTAATGATGTTTAGGGATAGGAAGTCAAACACAGGAATTCTACAAGTCAGGGGGTAGAGTCCATTATTATTAATTTTTTTTTTTTGGTATGATATAAAATCTTGAAAATAGAATGTAGCTATTCCTCTTTAACCCCTTAAGGACACATGACATGTGTGACATGTCATGATTCCCTTTTATTCCAGAAGTTTGGTCCTTAAGGGGTTAAAATCATTGCTCCCTTTCAAAATTAATTTATTAAAATCTGATCACATTAATGGTGTTTCACAGTGCTGGTGTTTGTATTTTAGAGGTAATTAGATCATTTGACACGTATATTTCTCTATTTCCAGGTACGGAAGATCAGACAGACTGTAAAATGATCTCATATAGATTTATAATGAGCCGTCGAAGACCTTCCATCCAACAGGAGGTGAGAGATCAGTGTGTTACTGAGAATAAAGAATACAAACCTTCACCTGCCCACAAATAGCTTTCATAGAAAGCTATAGCAACCAGAGACAGGGCCATAAAAACCCTCCCAAATTCCCTCTTCTTGATGGCAGTGTAGGAGCCAAACTGGATAAACACGGGCAGAGGGAATGGACTTTTTATAGCTCTCAGAATTCAATTATATCATTAAAGCCAGCAAACAGACAGTCAGTGGAAACTATAATTCAGGAGCAAAATAGATACATTTGTCAAAGTTCAGGGAATGTATACAGAGAGAGGTAAACTGACAGATCCCTGCATGCGCAGAGTAGAGTAGACTGGCAGACCCCTCATGCACAGGGCACACTGACAGATCCCCGCATGCGCAGGGCAGACTGACAGATCCCAGATACAATACAGAGGAGAATTCTTCTGTATGGTAGATGTACAGGGCTCGAAAGGGAGCTATAAACTATATTTTCTCACATTTTCATCTTTGGGGAACGTATCCTCTGGGGTACAGATGATTGCAATAATCAGATCTCTGATGGGTATCTAATAGAGAACATTGATATCGTGTGTGCTCAGTGATTGAGAGATTGTAAAGGGGGTCTCTAGAATGATAGGATAATATTAGGGGCTCTCATTGGATACGAATTGATATTAAGGGTTCACATTAAATGCAGATTGATAGACTGTAAGCTCGTTTAAGCAGGGTCCTCTTCAACCTATTGTTCCTGTAAGTTTTTGTAATTGTCCCATTTATTGTTAAATCTCCCCCTCTTATAATATTGTAAAGCGCTACGGAATTTGTTGGCGCTGTATAAAAAAAACAATAATAATAGTAATATTAGGGGTTCACGTTAAATAGAGGGTTATTTGGGTATTTCTCTAAGGTTAGACCTTACTTTTGTAAATTTGGTTGAAAACTTAATTTTATTCAGCTTGGATATTTTGTGATACTTTTTGCAAGTCACCTTCCAGGTGACCCCATTTAGTGAATTGACTCATTGGGCCACACATTCGCATTAATCCACAGAAGTGTGTGGTCTGGCTGGGCATGATGTGAGTTGTAGTCCCCAGTTGGAGTTTGGGGAGAGCTCCTGTGACAATGCTGCCTGAGATGCAGAATTTGTGCTCCTTCCAGAGCCAGAAGCTGCCAATCTGCCCGCTACATTACACATCAATGAACGTCCTATAATAAATGTATCTATTTTGTGCCTGAATTACAGTTTCCACTGACTGTCTGTTTCCTGAGCTAAATGATTTAATTGAATCCTGTTTCGCAGAGTAGCTATAAAATCTCCATTCTCTCTGCGAGTGTTTACGCAGTTTGGTTTCTACACCCCCACGAGAAAAAAGGGGGGATTTTATTAGATTTCCTTCAATGAGAAAAATATTATGGAACCATGACTGCCCTTGGCACAGGACCTCAGCTGCAGCATTACCTCTTGGAAATGTAGCTCTCAGTTAAAAAAAAAAGATGATAAAACGTAAATATTTACCCTGTTCCTTTAATTTGTGTATCTCGATGACGAGTTACCCCTCCTGGTGGGATCTGCAGGATCTTACATGAGTATGGGGACTGGTTCTTTAAAACAGGTGGATCCATGAAAAACATTGAGACTTTGAAATTATGTATGAGAATAAAAAGCAGCATTATTGGGAACACATAAAGGCCGATTTTAAGAGTAACTAGCAGTTATTCCTGAGAACTTGTTGCACTACACCCCCAATGAATCTAAGTGTACATTTAGTTAGCTACCGTCTAATGAAGGATTATTGGGCTGCTTCTTGGGATCCCCAGTCTAAATGCAATGTGTTGTACATGTTATCCTACAACAAGACTGACTCGGTTTCACATTGTAACCCTAAAGGAGGAAGACAGTCACAGAACACTACAATGCCCCCAACACAAACAAATAAAAAAATAACTGATAATAAATTTCAAACCTATTGATTAAGCATCACCTCCACCCAGGGAGCATCTTCATCTGAGCGGGAAGATACTAGACATGTGCACAAATATATTACACCCAAACAAACCGATCTGTCCCGGCTTTTCCTGTAGAGTCTGAAAGATTGGTTCGTTCGGGCATAGATTAAATGGCATTTGATTCATTCGAACCAGCCGAAACGCATTTGTGCACAAGTGTAACAGATACCTTAGGATTATCACAGGAGGACAATGAGACCTCACTGGAACTACAAATGGTGGCAATCAGAAAAAGCACATGGAAAGTCACCATCAATGGTCTACAGATAGGACAGTACACCAATGAGACACAAAAAGCAGATGGGGATAAGGAAAGAATTCGAAATGTCAAAATTTTGGCTAAAATAACTGCTCTGGGATGTTTTAAATGAGTCTACGTGGATTTATAAGACACTTTCAGTAGATATTTTGCTTTTTGGCTGAAATCACAGAGGTTAATTCTTAGGACTCACCTAAGAGGTTTGCCGTGATCTTGGCAAGTGAGCTTACACTTTAATGGCCACTATTCTCTACAAATTGTCAAGCTCGCGGCTACTTTTGACACTCTGGACACTCAGCTTCTTCTTATCCCCTCTGCAACCTAGGTCTCTGTGACTCTGCTCTGTCATAGGTTTCAATATTAATAATTGTAATTGGTCTCCTATTTGCCAAGTCTACTAAGCAATAAAGTCTGGTGAATTGAAGATCAGATTCCAAAATGTAGCGATTCAGTTTTCTACAATTCATTCTGTGTCTAACTCTCCACAGCGTAAATCGTTTGTATGTGTCCTGCAAAAACATGGTGATCTGCTGAGCTGTAGCATGGTTTGTTTATTTAAAATATTCTTATTTGCACATTTTTGTAAGTTAAAAATAGCATTTAAAGAGGGGAAACCGCTAACTACGGCAAAGGAAGGAAGTGCAGAATTTACTGCAGTCAATGGGAATTAGTAAACTGTTCAAAGCCTGAGTTTGTTTGTTTCCCCCCCTTTTATTGTGTATGTGCTATATTCATTTCACTAGAATGTGTTTTATTGTGAGTAATTTGCTTCATAATGAATAAATCCCACTTGTACTCAGCAAGCTCACTAAAATCATGATAGTAAAAAAATAAAAAATAAAAATGTAAAAATCTAATTTAGCGTTTATCTTATAATTTTAGAATATCATTTTAAAAACATCTATTTATCTTGAAAATAGGTGTCGTTCAACAAGAAATTCCTTACAACCTGCACATTAATTTGAGACCCAGAGAATCTGCTCATGCCCTAAGAATCTTCGCTCCTGACCATTGCAGAATACAATGTCAATCCACTTGAATTTTTGGTGTCCTTGCACCCTACCTAGGACTGACTCTACCATAAGCTGGACACCACATGAGTATTAAAAAAATTAAACCCCCCCCCCCCCTCGGCACTATAATAACTTAATTTCAGTTCAGTTGTTATGCTGCCCTGTCATATTATAGGAGTGTCCTTGTGATCTTTGACACTAGAGTAATGTAGACTTTGAACCACAATGGCCTCCATGTCTTTGGGCCCCATTTAAATGATCACACTATTTATATCATTATATGTTGAAACACTTGACAAAGACAAACTCATGAGGCCAAAACATTGTCACCTTGTATCACAATAAATGAACTCACACTTATAAGAGACGTTCTGGACCATTTTACAGGCACGCTATCCTAGTCTCACAGATACCACAGCAAGGGAGCATGTAGCTGGTCCAGAACTAATTAAATATTAAAAAGAATTTCTGTCTAGGACAACAATAATCCTTGCACTGTCCCTGACTAGACTATGGACGATCTACTGAAAGAGTTTCTAAACCTTCTGCACATGCCACGTTTACAGCCCAACATACATTACTATTATTTTATTACTTATATAGTGCCAGCAAATTCTGTATCGCTAATATCGTTCAGAACATGGCTTGTAAGTTCTGCATCGATAAGTACAGTAATCTATTAATGTGTTACAGGTGATTTAGATGCAATCATTCTGTCCTTGAAAGATAAGTATCTTTTTAATGTGAAAAATGGAAAGACCACTGGTTTTTGCATTGAACACTTTTATGCTCACAATGTCCATGACTTTTGCTTGAAAAATGCATGGAATTTACTCATCACAAAAATGAAGCACACAGAGCTTCTTCATCAGTTTGGATATAAGAGTAGGCATTGGAATGTCATCGATGAAGTGGATGACGATTTTTGCCGTCTAGAAATTTTTGATGGGTAAACGTCATGAAAGCAACGCCTTCAAATGTTAGCACAGGTCAGATCTGTAGTAGATTAAATGAGAACTTTACTTTCTGCTTACTCTTTGTGAGTAATCTGTGAGAAAGGAAATAAAAAGAGGAAACTATGGTTTCATTTTCTACAGATAATGCTTGGCACAGAAAAACGGATAAGACATAAATATATAAATACATGCTCTGCTTTTGCATGATGTGTGAACTTTGTTACACATTATAAATCGACAGTTAAACTAAGCAACAAAAATGAGAACTGCATTGAAATTTTTTAAGAAATATGTTGTTTACAATTGTTCAAGTTATGTAATATGTTATATTAACTTATTTTCAATTGGAAAATGTACAAATTGCGTGTTAAGGGTATGCATTATATATATTTAAAACAGAGTATGGAAACCAGGTGATATAGGATTTTCTGAGAGCAAGGGCCATAATAGCTATATGATGGGCAACTTATTCACTTCTTAGTTGTTTAATAATAACTATAGCCAGACTGCTCAGATGCGTGGGTATACATCAACGCTAGCAGCCTTTCTCAATAACCGGGTTATTTATTAAAATGAGAATACAAAGTGAATTTCAAATTCAAGGCCAAAACAGCCGAATTGGAAGCATAGACTACTTCAAGAATTGTTCCAGTTTCGACTATTTTGGCCTTAAATCTGAAATTCGCTCTGAATTGACTTTGAATTTTGACTTTAATGGATGACCCTGTGAATATTTTCTTTTAAGGTAAAATCAACTACCAACTGACATTATTAGATAGACATGGCAATGGATTTGCCAAGTTTATCACACAAACCTAACATTGTACAAATAAAATCACTGTAAAAAGATATCAAAATAAAATTTAAAAAAAAACGAAACAGAATGGGAGCATAATACAAAGAACTGTGTTAGAAGGAGAACCGCAAATAAACTATGACTCAGACTATTCCCACTATCCACTTAAACCTCCTCTGGGTGATTCTGGAAACGAGAAACTGGTCTGACAAGGGATTTTTTTTTTTTTTTTTACTAAAATAAATGAGCTGGTTAAATAGCAAGGGTTTAATAATTATTAAACAGTGATTGGAATAAATGGAAAACCAAACCGTTTATGGCTGTTTTATTCTGAATTTGTTATTCATTATTCAATTGAGTAAAATTGGCTTTTTAGAAAATACATCCCAGCTAAATTGGATAATTCAATCCCCATATACCCTGTTGGATTCCCAGTGATTTCTTGCCTAATCAATAATCCTGTCTGCGTTTTACATCATTTTCAGTAAATGATCGCCTGCAATAAAAGTAATTCTGTTAACTAACTATCTTTGTTTAGGAAAGGCATAAACTAATCGCTAAGTAAAAGATAGCGGCTACATGTATATTTTTCTCTTCCTAACCCTTTATTCCTTTTACTTTTAATTTTCATGAAATTAAATTGGAGTTTGAAGAAAAGGTAAAATAGCTCGTGATTTTCTGCACATGGCTGGTAAAATGTTATACGCACATTGGTAAAATAGGATAAGGCGGCCCAGAACGCGTGTTTACCTTCACTGCACGCATGAACCAGTAAAGGTTTAAATACCTTGTACATATGTTCTAAATAGTATACATAGACATATCAAATTTTATAGATTAGCTATAATTTATATATAATGTAAAAATGACAACGCTGCCCACCTGAATAGACTATGCTTGTACAAAAGATATGTGCCCAGTCGGGGCATAGGCTGACTGTCATTCCTCCCAGACTGGCCCATATCAGGGATAAGGTACTCCCACCGGAACACACTAAGGACTATTTGTACTAGTACCATTCTCTTATTGCTTATCTAACTTAGCATGTAAATACATTAAATACTGCATGTTCTAGATATGTACTTTGACTTCCTCTATCACAAAGTTTAACCAA